CCGTCGCCTTCCCTCAAGATCTCGAGCGCCCCTCCGGTGCGATTCGCCCGCGAGCTGCGCCGCGCCGCGGGCCCCTGCTGCCCCTGCTGCCCCTGCTGCCCCTGCTGCCCCTGCTGCCCCTGCTGCCCCTGCTCCTGGCAGTGTTGCGCGGCATCGGCCCGGCCGGCCGGCGCGAGGCTGCCCGCGCACGGGCCGGCGGGTGGGCTCTGCTGGCCGGCCGACACGTGCCGCTCGTGGTCGTCGATCGAGTCGGCGAGAACAGAGGTGGAGAGGGAGAGGACGACGGCGAGACAAAACGCGTACCTGGAGGGGACGCGCGCTGGGCGTGTCAGGGACGCGCGGAGAGGGAGAGCGCGCGCGGGGGGGGGGCGGTGTGTGCAACCCAAATCCGCCCATACCTCGGCCACACCTCGGCGACACCTCCGCCACACCTCGGCGACACCTCGGCCACACCTCGGCGACACCTCGGCCACATCTCGGCCTCATCTCGGCTACATCGCGGCACATGCAAGTCAGCCCGCGCAGCCTCAGCGCGACGACCAGAGAAGAGTCCGGTAGCTCCTCCGGCGAGAGGAGCGTCGCCTGGAGGAGATGCGCCGAGATGAGCCGAGCTCCCCCCGAGATCAGGCCTCCTCCGGCCAGAGCAGCGTCGCCGACAGCAGCTCCGCCACTCCCGCGCACAGCCGCGTGCAGTTGGCGCCGTTCCCGGCGGCGTCGAGGACGGCGGCGGCGTTGTCGAAGCCGGGCGAGGCGGGCGGCGGCGCGAGGGCGTCGCAGAGTGCGTTGCACAGCTGAGGCTGCTGCGCGCGCACGCTGCTCCACACATCGCCGATCGACGAGTGCGCGTTGATGTTGAGGAGACCTGTGGGGCCACGTCCCGGACGCGTCATGGGACGTGTCTTGGCGGCAGAGGCGGGCCTCGGTGCCGAAGGCGGGCCGAGGAGGCAAGTCATCACGAGCACGTCGGCCAGCGTCCACTTGCCGAAAAAGGCGAGCCAGTAGTTGCCTGCTCGCAGCGCCCTCGCGTGAGCGACGCGTCCCCGCCGAAGGCGGCGCGACGCGGCGCGACCGCCGTTGCGGCGCGCGGCCGGCCGCAGCGGCAAGTAGAAGAAGAGCTGCAGCAACAGCAGCTTGAGGTGCGGCCAGATGAAGGAGAAGACCTGCGGCGGAGGGCGGGGGACGGCAGCTCTCATGCGGAGTGCGTCAGTGACACCGCACTGCGGCGAGGGTCTCTGCGCGGACCTACAGCGCCGGAAGGGGGCGGCGAGGCTCAGCAGGCGAGCTTCTCACCCCCCGGCGTCTCGCCGCCAGATCAGCAGAGCGCCTATCCGCCGGGGAGTGGGCGACGCTCAGCCACAGCCTCTGCCTGGCCGCGACGCAGGCCGGAGGGAAGGGCGACCACTAGCGCGGCGGGAAGTGTGACGTGGCGGGAAGTGTGACGTGGCGGGAAGTGTGACGTGGCGGGAAGTGTGACGTGGCGGGAAGTGTGACGTGGCGGGAAGTGTGACGTGGCGGGAAGTGTGACGTGGCGGGAAGTGTGACGTGGCGGGAAGTGTGACGTGGCGGGAAGTGTGACGTGGTCGCCACTAGGCATCACATCACACCACTAGCGTGGCGGCGGCGGGGCGGCCCGGGTAGATGTGCGTGCACTCGGGCTCGGTCCCTGGTCGCAGGCAGAGAGAGGCGTGAGTTGCGCGCCTCGAATCGTCTGCGCGCCTCTTCACAGCGCGTGCGCGGTGTGAAACAAAGGAGAAGGTGACCCGCGTGCGTTTGGTGCGTGCGCGCGTCTTTGGCTCTCTTGCGCCTGTCTGGCAGGCGGGCGACAGGTCCTGCCCCCAGAGCTGCGTCACCGCGTACAGGTAGGACATGTGCGCGACGGGCACCTGCTCATCGACAGCCGTGAAGAGTGCGGTCCCCCCCTCCTCCGCAACCCCGGCTCCTCCGCACGACGGGGGGGCGGGGCCGCCTCGAGCTTTCCAGCGCAGCGCTGCTCCGCCGCCACGCCGGCGACGATGGTGCACGCGTCGCACTCGAGGGTGGCGCAGGCGGGCGGGGCGCCGGGAGGCAGCGTCTCGTCGCCGAACGGGCAGTCTGTTCCGCAGGCGGACGCCTCCAACGCCCCGGCGGCGGCGGCGAGCAGTCCGTGTGCGTGATAGCCGAGCGACGCAGACAGGTCGATCTCCATCATCGAGTCGGACTTGTCCGCGACCGACGCGTCGCACCCGGTGTTGTTGAAGCCTGCGCGGAGGCGGTCGCGGTCGGTGGTGGCGAGTACGGGCGGTGCGGCGGCTGACCGCGATCCGCTTGCACAGGGTGGTGCGTAGCGTGCCAGCTTGGTGTGTGATACACAAAATGACCGACACGCGCTGATGAAACGGCGGGTATGAGCGGCGGGCAGAGTCAAGACGGGCCAGGACCAAGACGTGAGTGCGTCCCGCACCGGGGCAGTCGTCTTCGCGGCCGACAAGCTGGCCGTAGAGGAAGAGCGCGTGGGCGGTGAGTGCGAGCGTCGAAATTAGCAACGATGTGCGCAGGCCGACCGCCGCGGCGAGCGACCTGGCGCGGTGGTCGGACATTGCGCGCTTCAGACTGCCCAACGAGGAGACAGGGTCCCCACCTTCCCTGTGGCACAGGGTGGGTTAGGCTGTACCCATGTTTCCTCGCGCACCCCGTCTCGTGTGTTTCCTTTCCGTGTTTCTCCACAGCACCCTCTCGTTTCCTCTCTAGTTTCCCGCACGACCACCCGCTCAAGTCCGCGAGCCTACTGTGTGAACGAGGTTCTTGTTTCTTATCACCCTACTGTGAACAGGTTGTACCCAGCGCTGGCTTCTGACTGTCGTTGCTGTCTCTCCCTTCTCGACTGTCTGTGCTTGCTTGTGCGTCTTGGGTCCGGGGTTGTGTTTTTGTGTGAACAGGTTGGAGCAGCAGCTCCTGAGCACGGCGCCGCACGTGGCGGGCACTCTCGGAAGCTCCGCGCCATTCTTTTTTTGCGACCCCTCCCGGAGGCCCTTCCGACCCCTCTCGAGCCCTCCCGCCACGAAGATCCTCCCTTTGTCCGACCGTCCCTCCGAGCCCACCCGGCGCCCGAGCCCTCTTGCCTATCACCCGAGCTCGGGAGCCCACCGGGCTGTGCGCCGAGGTGTGTCTGATGAATGCGGACGCTCTGCCGACCCCGGAACCGACCCCGCCTTCGCCCATGCCGGCCGCTCATGAGGTCGCGGGCTGCCCCGGCAATCCGAGCGGGAGAGGGAGCAACTCGGGCGGGTGCTGCCTCGGCGAGGGCAGCGACTGGTGCTCGGAACACTACCAGGAGGGCTTCGTGTGCGTCAACAATGCTTGCGGCCTCGACGACTGCTGCGTTCCCGCGCGAGAGTCGTGCACCTTCTATCCGTGGGTGACAGACCCGGCCAACTGCCACGAGGACAACTGCGAGCGGTACAAGGACCACGTATGTGACGGCGGCGCCTGCCAGGGAGCGGCGCAAGCGCTCAATCGGGATACCAACGGCTGGTGCGACTCTTCGAGCAACGCCGGCACCATCGCCGCGATTGTCGGCGGGTGCGTCGGAGGCGCCCTCTTTCTCGCTATTCCTGCCACCGCGATTGTCATCCACAAGCAGCACGCCAAGCGTATGAGCACGGAGCCGCCGCCACCGCATGTGACCGCAGCGGCGGTGCCAGTGCCGGTGGGGAGTGCTACAGTCGTACCTCGAGGTATAGTGCAAGGGTCAGAGCTGCCGGTAGTGCGAGCCACGGAGGTGATGGTCATGTAGTTCCCAAATATCCGCAATATGTTCGCAAGAGCCACTATATGCACTGAAAATGCTGAGTGTGGGCAGTGGTGGGCAGTGGTGCCAGAATTGTACAGCGAACTACAAAAGAAAACCCGAAATTTTTTTCTTTGACTGCCACCTCAGCACAGCGCTGTTGCTTCGATGGCGGCGCTCCTCTTTGCCCTCGCCGCGGCCGGCGCGGAGACGCTCAGGCCCAAAAACATCGACATCTCGCTGACCGCGCGCTGGGACGAGACGCCGCTCTCGGTCGAGTCTGCCGAGTTCATGGCCGACGAGGGTCTCTTCTGGGACTATGCGGCGGCGCTGCACGAGCCAGAGGGAGGCGGCTCGGACCAGGAGGTGCTCGCGGCGATCGAAGCGGCGGCGGCGGGCCTGCTCTCGCCGCTCCGCCTCCGCCTGCTCCGCGTCCTCCTCTCAGCGCACGTCTTCTCTCCGCGTGCGGCCATGTGGCGACAGATTGCAGCGACCGACGCTGCGACGCTCGGCGTGAGCGGCACGTCGGAGGTCTGGGTGCGGGCGTGCGGCCGCGCGCACGCGCTGCCGGACGGCGCGGGGGCGGACGGCGCGGCGGACCTCGTCGCGGCGGCGCTCTCCGCTGCGCGAGCCGACTGCCCGCAAGAGGCCGAGCTGCTCTCCGTGGACCGCGTCTTCCCGGGAGGCAGCCGCGCGGGCGGAGAGGCGCCTCCGCTGCTGGTGCTGTACGCCCGGCTCGGCTCGGCCGCCTTCCACCCCGCCCACGACGCCCTCTCCCGAGCCGCGGCGGACGGCCGTGTCCGCTACGCCCTCCGGCCGCTGCCGCAAGCGCCGGGCGGCGGCGGCGGCGGCGCGCAGCGGCAAACGCTGCAAGGATACGGCGTGCAGCTGGCGATCAAGAACATGGAGTACAAGGCGATGGACGACAAGGACCTTGGCGGCATCGACGGCGGCGACGGCGGCGACGGCGACGGCGGCGGCGACGGCGGCGGCGACGAGGAGGGCGAGGAGGCTGAGGAGCACGGATTTTACTTTCGGTCGCTGGCGGCGCGAGCGCCCGAGGTGGCGGACGCGCTCGGCGCGCTGCGCGAGGAGCTCGCCGCCGCGGACGCGTCCCACGACGCGTCCGAGCTCAAGGTGTGGGCGCTGCAGGACCTCGGCGTGCAGGCGGCGGCGCGGGTGCTGGCCGCCAAGCAGCCGCTGCGTGCGCTGCGCGACCTGTGCCAAAACTTCCCCTTCCTGGCACGCGGGCTGTCCAAGGGTCCGGCGCCGCGCGAGCTCGCCCTCGAGGTCGACCGCCTCCAGCAGACGGTGTGGGGCTCCTCCTTCTCGGGCGCCTTCCTCAACGGCAACCCGCTGACGCTGCGCACGCCGGCGTCCAAGACACGTCCATGACACGTCCACGGCCTGCGCCGCACTAGGCCGCCCGCTGCCGCTCGTCGAGACGAACGACCTCGCCGGGCTGCTCACCACGATGACGCGCGAGATGCGCACCGTCGACGAGCTTCAGACGGCCGGCGTGCCTCCCCTCGCCATCCGAGCGATGCTCTCGCTGCCGGCGGCGCCGGCGTCGCTCCGCGTGTC